TTCACCGGAATTTGTAAGAAGAGTAGTGGCTCAACTGTAGGTCCAATGCAGAAGGTACCTCACAGCGTACTTCTGTTACGTCCACAATAATGAACATACTCAGCAGACTGTGATGTGTATCAGACACACTCTGGCATTATTTGTTTCACATTCTCCCAGGAGGAGATACAATGTAGTTCAATCATGTCTTCGGCACATGGGGTACCGTCGCCTCGTTGCAACTAAACAGGTATGCAAGTTACTTTCCCATGAGACCCAGCCGGAGCCGCGTCAACGTCATTACCAGCTAATCATGGAGAGGTATAATGTGACTTTCCACCACTCCCTGATTCAATCATAGTTTGCGAGCCTGCGCCAAACTGCTTTCTCACTAGAGCCAGGCATTGGATACATATGGCTTCAGTAAGGTTTACAATGCTATGTCTCTGGCCTAAGTCCAAGTCTAGATACAGCTGCTCAGAGTCAGGACTGATGAAGTGTTCATATTGGAACAAGTGAGACTTCAACAGTAGCTAGTACACATCAGGCCTGAGGACTTCGCAGCGTTTCTCCAGCACACTTGTTCTCTCCTTCAATTCAGATACTACTTGAAGTACTACTAAAGGCCATCTGGCTCTCACACTCAGTCCTTCCACCCTTCATTTTCGCGGTTTAGGCTTGAAGCCTTCCACTCGTGACTCGGCAGGTTCCTGGCCTCTCCGCAGTCTGTCCTAAGGAGAGGGTCGCTCTGGAGCTAGTGCAGCCGAATCAAAGGGAATCGAGTTCTTTCTCAGACGTCCACAAACTTTCGTTGTGCTTGACTTCGCTTCCAGTGCGGGAAAGTAGTCACACTTCAGGACCACGACGTGCTTGTTGCAGCCTACACCAACGATACTAAAATAATATTCTCTCATTTTTCTGCCTCCCGGCTCGGAAAGGAACGTATGGAATAGGAGACTCAGTTCCATCTCTCGTCTGCTAGTGCATTCAGGAGCGCAGCAGCGCTTCGGCATGACGATACAAGCCGAATCAAAACAACTCTACTCTCTAGCCAAAAAAACTAGCTCAGCGTTCGTCAGGCAAAAAGCGAAACTTCGAAAGTCACGAACTCAAAAGGTGGGGAAGTTCAAGTCAGAGTCAGAAGGTCCACTTGCCCCGTCTCGAACCCAGACAATCTTTGTGCAAGTCATCTATTGGGCTAAGTCTTGCCGTATGGTGCCTAGAAAATATACAATTTTGCGATTTTGCGGAGTTTTAACACACATCTTTTTAGGAAATATTTTCATTAGAATGCTTTATGGATGTCTGCGCGGGTGCATGTGGCTGTGTGCACATGTGTTTGTGTGCACGTGCGCATGTGTTTGTGTGTGCGTGCGTCTGAGTGTGTGTTTGTGTATATGCATTCGAATGCCTGGTACTGGGCGTTTGTGGCAATGTGTTGTGCGCCTGCTCTCCTATCCTACATCCTATTTATTTCTAATTTGCTCTGTTGTGCTCCTGCTCCTTTTTTCTCACTTTGTATTTTTTCTGTTTAGCGCGCATGAGCAGTGCTAAAACCGAGACTCTTTGTCGGTTGATCTGCTTTTGTCCCGCCTCCACTGTTTCGGCTGCCATCCCTATGTGTATCCCTGTGCGGTTTTGCCGGAGTTTGGACCATGATTGTTTTTTGCTAATTTTGTAAAAAAAAATTAAAAAGCGGTCTAGCTACAATTTTAAGCAGCAAAGTAGCACACCACCCAACTTGGGCGGCTCACTAAATATCAAAGATAAGTAAAGAAGGGGGACGCTTTGCGAAAACGAATTGTACAAGCTTAAAGGCAAACTCCTACAGGACTCCTCACGCATGACATTGTGATGGACTAGTTGACTACAAAACTTGAACCTTCCAAACAAAAAAACAACGATCGTTAGAGCCAGGTGTTCTTTAGAACCAGGTCCCACGGTGTCTGTGTAGAACTGTCAGTGCAGGGAAAAACGGTCGTTAAGAGCAGATGGTCGCTACACCCAGTTTCAAAAAGATTAGCAATCCTGGTGATCGCCCGGGGATTTTGCCGTCTTACCGTATAAGCGCTTTAGCGCTGCCTGGAAAAACTCACTATGACCTCGAAGAAATATTCCGCGCGAAAGCATGACAAATGACAACTCACTCTGGCCCGAAGCCACACATTTTCAATCCAGGCTCTGAGCTTTCAAGCTCCTCTGATACGTCGAAATCGCTCATGGTGAGGATGTCTTTGTCAGAACCAATCCTTTCAAATACCAAAATACCTGTACCGCTGAGAATGTTGAGCAATGGAGTGTGTGTAAGTGGCTGCAATGGAGTACTGCAATTTCACAAATTGACCTCGTACAGAAAATGTTGAGCACCGAATATATTGGAAATTAGAGAGGTTCCGCACTACGTAAAGTTGAGCAACTTTACGTTAGTGGGCGGGGAAAACCCGTGAATCCGCGAGTTGGCAATTCACTTACGGAAAGTTGTCTACGTAGAGTACGTAGATAGGGCTCTGATAACGTAGCTGGTCCGTAAGTGGATTGGGGTACAAATTTATGACTCTCTCCACAGGTCGATCTGCCGTCATCAGGTCGTACACTGCCGCGTTCGGAGTTGCCAAGGGCAGCTAATTGATTTGAAAACCCCGTATGGCGGAACCAAGATGTGCATGCAGTTTACGTAAGACTTTCCGTAGATTGACTACGTTTTTTACTAACGTAATTACGTTATGCGGAACCTCTCTAGTATTATAGTAAATGAGTGCTTGGAAAATAACTTGCTTCCTCTGCCTGTTTGTTCTGCTAGCCTGTTTTCCACGACGGTATGATCAAACTGGTCAAAAGTCATCGGTTGGTAATGTCACATGCAGATTTGAAGGTAAGTACCGGTGGACTGTGATGCGCATGAGGCAAACACAGATCATGGGGAAATGCATGGCTGGGTCGCTGGAATTGAAAACCCTCCCTGACCGGAAAATACTTTTCAGCATGTTTTAAACCGTCAGTCCCGTGTGCATGACTAATATCCCTGGCTGCGCTTTGGAACAGTTCCCATTTTCTGCGTTGTCATCCATTTTTGTTTGCGTTTATTATTATTACTAAAAGCATGTCCGAGTAGGTAGCAGGGGTGCCACTTTCGCTTCTGTCATTAAGGATTGATATCTTTTAAAAGGTGGCAGACTACCCAAAACTTCGCTGAAAAATCGAATTTGTAAATTCATATTGAGTGCTACGTCAGTTGAAAGAGCATGAATAGCTGCAAATTCTCCGAAATTTGTGTCCCGATCTGACCGGCCGTTCAAGAGTTATGGCCGAAAACGTGCCCTTGCAAGGAAAGATTTTTTTGTTGCACGCTGTCATTTGTTGGCAGCACTGTATTTGAATGTGAGCAGACCGTGCGCAACTTGTCGTATCATGGAAACACGTGAAAATGTGCAGAATTTTGCTCCAAGTCCAAAAAATCAGGTTTTTGAGCCACGTATTGGGCTGCACGGCGGCGGGCAAAGCCCGCCGCCGTTCAGCAGGACTTTTTCCAGCACCCTCGTGTTGTTGCAAATATGTGGCTTGATTATTGTAGTTGACGTTGATTTAGTGACTTTGGCAAGTTTGAGTCGTGTCAAGAAGTCAGGTAGGATTCAGTACTAGGCAGTAGTGAAACGTGAGTGGTAGTCTTTGCCGGTTTCTGAGGGTATCCTGGATTTGGTGTGCAGCGCTGTGGAAATGGCTTGCTGTGGAGGTCCCAGCACTGGATGTTGTATCAAAGGTACGACCTCGTAGCACGTGCTAAACCTAAAAAAATTCAAAAATTTACTTGGGTCTGTGGGAGTGTGTGAGAGAACGCCCACTCGTTCCGTTGTGACAGATTCCAGAGCCTCGTTGAGGGGCCCTACCCCATCACCCATGGCTGCTTCTGGACTTGTTCTAGGTTTGAGTCCTGCGCACGAACAGAATGAGCACGAAAATGTGAAAAAATTGTAAATGCATTTGTTTGGCTCCTGGGTGGCTCGCACACCGTGGCACTATGCCGGAAATTTGAGTTTTTCCGGCCTGGAAAGCCTGTCAGTGAGGCGCAAGAACTTGTGAATCATGTCCTGAGGGCCAGCATAGTGGCAGGAGTGTGTGGTCAAAATTTCACTCAAATCCATTGAGAAACACCGAAGTTACGGTCAATTGAATGCCATATGAAATTTTTGGGTGATGTGCCCCCTTAAAGGGGCACTCGGGGAATTTTTCGGTGGTGTTTTCTCTTCATGGGGGCCTTATATGGCCACCAAGGAATGGGGAGTCGTGAAAACTAGACCCAAAAAGTCGATATATGAAGCCAGGGAGGGCCAAGTTTGTCTCCTCTTTTGATGGCTTTGATGACATCACGTGCGATTAGTATTTAAATTCTCTGCATTTGAAGATCTTAGTTGTTTGAATTTTCTGGTGATGAAGAACGATGTTTGGTCGACATTCCCAAGCTTCACAACTGCGGACATACTCTAAGGCCCCGGTCCCACATGCAGTGGCGGATCTGCTGTTGCGACAAGGTTTTGCGGGAGTGGTGTCGCACCTCTCCTGCGACAACGTGCTCGCGTGGTCCCACATGATCAAGCGTGCACGGCGAACGAAGCAAGCGCGCCTCTCGGATTTGTAAAAAATTTCGCTGCATGCAGCTCTCCACCACGTGCCGTGATCCTAGTTTTACAGTAAGTGTAGGTAGGTGTTTGACAAATAATAATAATAATTGTTGTTTTTGTTTCTCCGGTGAGTATCAAGCATTAGCTATGATGTCGTGAGTTCGGTATTGTTGATTTTGTTCTGTATAATCTGAAAGAATGGATCTTCCATTGGGTAGAGGTCGATTGGCGAGACGTCGTCGAAAGGCAATGGAAATCGCAGCGACGTTTTTGTTGCTGAATACTAGTATGAATTTGTTGAGCAACACGTCGACGATAACTGCTACAGATACTAGTATTGTTCTTGCCAGACCTACATGTACCTCACCCTTTCATGACAGCGGCCCCCCTGCGTGGTTTTACATGATGGCCATGCTTGGCTGCTCACAGGTCCGGAATTTGGTCTTTGGGCGACGCCGCAGTCGTCGGTTTTGGTCTGCCTTGAGAGGTGATGGAACATGGGAGACTGACTTCCTGACAAATTACCATGTGATGGGTGTAGAGTGGAGAGTTCCAGATTTCGAGGACGAACAGTATATTGTTCACCTACGACTGGGGAAAACCGAATTCTGGAGACTACATGACCTGTACGGCCTTTACCTAGTGACGAAAGACACGCGCTGGAGATGCGCCGTTGCCAGTCATAAGCGATTAGCCATGACACTTCATTGGCTCGCTCATGGCTATACGTACAGTGAGTTGGCGAGGGTGTATGCTGTTGGGAAGTCCACTGCTGTTGAAATGGTCCACAGTACTGTGACTATATTGCTGCAGAGAATGGTGAAGAAATCCATTCGATTTCCTGAAGGCGACGAGCTTAAACGAGTCATGTTGGAATTTGGCGAGCTGGCACACCTAGAACGCTGTGCGGGAGCAATTGATGGCACTTTCATGAAGATTAAGAAGCCGCACATTCCCTATGCAGACAGCTATTGGTGTTACAAGAAGTATTGCTCGATAATCATCCTAGGTACGGTCGATGCATGCGGCATATTTACGAACGTCAACGCTGGTCGGGCTGGCTCAGCAGGTGATGCAGCAGCGTTCTCCACCTCTAAGCTCTGTCGCAAAATTGGAAGTCGCAAATGGCTGACAATTGATGAAGGGGACGAGCGATTTGTGATTGATGGAACATACATTCGTCCCTACTTAGTCGCTGATTCTGCCTTTTCTCTGTGCTCCACGACCATGAAGTGCTACGATGAAGTTGGTGTGTTACCAGCCTATCGCCGCACCTTCAACCATCGCCTCATCAGAACTCATCGAGTGGTGGAACAGGCATTCGGCCGATTAAAGGGCCGCTTTCATATTCTTGTTGACAACAATTTGTCAGATACCGATTTTGCAAGTGATGTTGCACTAGTTTGTTGCGCACTGCACAATATATGCGAGCGATGGAACTGCCCCCTAGAAAATTCCTGGCTAGTGGACGACTCAGTATACAATATGTATCGTCCTGGCCCTGATGACCAACCTCGAGCTGATTTCGATCAAGCAGGTTATCTTGTCAGAGAGAAAATGGCTCGCGTCATACACCAACACCATCCAGTAGCTTGAGACATACATGTACCTTGCATACACACGTACCAGCTGGTAATTGTATTCAGTTCTCTGGATATGTTCTTGGCCTGGGTATTACGTGTCCCATGCATGCCAAGGTCACCGGGACTTCCTTTCAATACAGAAGAAAAGGTAGAAGAAGAAACAGTTTTATATGGACATGTAAAATGTGAAACGGGAAAGAGTGAGGTGATACCAGTTTCTTCTTCCCAAGAATTAGTTTCATTGTATTTCACACAGTTCTGTGATACTGATGAGCCGTATTTATTTCACCCGTGCACACGCAAACTAACCATTATCAGCACAAACATACATACAGACAGACACGCATTCATACAATGTTAAGTCACATCCATGCACCTCTGTGCTCGGCAGCAACGTTGAGTGACTTATTCCATTGTCCTGCTCAATCTTCCTCACTGTCACTTTCCCTGCGCCTTCTCCTATTGCCACCGAACATATTGTTCATGAGCGTAGCTTGGAATGTCATCAAACTTTGCTGGACGTTGAGCTGAAACTGCTCTTGTCGGTTCTGTGATGCATTTGCTCTCTCTTCATCTCTTTGCCTCTGCCTAGCTTCAAAATCTTGTTGTTGTTGTTGCAGCTGCGACTGTAGTCATGAGAACAAGAAAACAAAGAGATGCAAACATAAATAATTCTTTAAATTTCCATAGGACAGCCACCTTCACTTTGTCAAGATCATGATGCGGCTGTGCGGCAGGCCGAGCTGGCCGCCCTTCAATGAGGGGAGAGTGATAATTCATTTTGACTCAATACCATGCAGACTGGTACCTTCTTAGGTTAATTAGATACTACATGTGGTACAAGTTCAGTGTCTGGTTGATTGTGTGACTAATCAAAGTCGGGATAGACTGCAGCAACAAGAGTACCTCTCATTCAGTGGAGGAAAGTTTCGTTTATTTAATTGTAAGTGAAAATGCCGTTCACTACGAACTGAAATCAATCATGAGGAACGATGACATGAGGTTGCTACTGACATAATTATAGGCGTGTATGGCGCTTACCTGAATTGCAAGGTTTTGCTGTGTTTGTGCTTGCACAATGTCTGCAAAACAGCGAGAAATTGTTGCTGCTGCTGCTGATGGGTTGCCCTTGCTGGTGTCCTTGGCACAATTCGCGAAGGCAATGGGCGGGCTGCAGCCCTACCTGGTGGTACTTCCTGGTGAACTGCAGTCTCTTGCACCATCAATAGCCTATCCTCTCGCCATTATTTTTAATATGTCATTTCGAACTGGTACATTCCCACAGGATTGGAAATCCGCCATCGTGACACCGCTTTACAAGAATAAAGGCTCCCGTGCTTGCCCGGCAAACTACCGCCCCATCTCTCTGCTGCGCACAGTTTCCAAACTTTGTGAGCGTATTGTATTCGATTCCCTCTACCTGCACATCGCTCCGGCTCTCTCACCAGCTCAGTCGGGATTCTGCCGTGGTGACTCAACTCAATACCAGGTGACTCGACTTGTCCAAGACATAGCGACAAAGAGGAACTGTGGGGAGCATGTGGGAATGGTGTTTTTCGACTTGGCTAAGGCATTCGACACCGTTTGGCATCGTGGCTTACTTGCCAAGTTGGAGGTCACCTTCCGGGTGGAGGATGCTGCATTGCGTTGGATATCCTCGTATCTGTCTGCTCGTTCTCAGGCTGTTCGCTTGTCTTATTTCTTGTCTGATCCCCTCCCTGTAACGTCTGGAGTGCCCCAAGGTTCCATTCTGGGTCCTTTGTTATTCTTGCTTTACGTTAATGACCTACCTTCAGTTGTCCCCGATGTTAGTTTGTATGCGGATGACACTGGCCTTATCTGTTCTGATTCCTCCCCTGCACAATTACTCCTTACCATGCAGCATCGCATCAACAGCACTGTCATGTGGATGCAAACGTGGAAACTCCAGCCCAATTTAGACAAGACAGAAGCCATGTATATTTCTTCATCCCCTCCTGATCAACCATTATACTTCCCTGACTCGACTATGCCTATCCGTGTTGTTACTCAGCACAAACATCTCGGTGTGATGTTTGACTGCAAACTCTCTTGGGCTGCACATGTCAACTGTGTATGCAAGCGAACCAGTTCAGCATTAGGGGTACTACAACCACATTGCACTCATTTGCCCATCCAGTGTAAACTATTATTTTATCAGTGCTATATTCTCCCTATATTCGACTATTGCGATACCGCTTGGTGTGGCCTTTCTGACACAACTCTGAACCAATTAGAAGTCCACCATAGATTTATACTAAAAATTCTTTACAACAAGGATCGATGTTTTCCTTCGGATGCCCTTTATCGACTTGCACACACTTCTCCTCTCTCCGTTCGTCATAAGCACCATCTCTGTACACTGGTTCATAAAATATTTCTTCATAAAACCCCTTCACACATGATGAAGTACAATTGGTTTTCGACAAGCTCAACCCGTAACGCGCTCATCCTGCCTCTTGTTAAGTCAGCCCAGTATCTAAAGTCCCCTTTGTTTTCCGGCTACTCTCATTGGTTATCATTACCATACGGTCTGAAAACTTGTTCTTCTATTGGTCAGTTTAAAGATCTACTATCACAACTGAACTAGACGCAATAATTATCATCGAAGAACATTCTCGAATACCTGGGTGATGCACGAATTTTGATAGTGCTCACTTCCGTTAATCGTTTTTCTTTGTAATTTTCCATTCATTTTCTGCTCTAATTCATATTTGCTTTGTTTTCCTAGCTTACTATTGCCGTGGCTGGCTCAACGCCCTTGTCTCAGGGGATTCTGTCCCTGCATTAGCTATGCTTGTCACATGCTATGAGATTGTGTCTAATAATAATAATAATAACTGCCTCATCACCAGCAGCAGCAGCAGCTACTTGCTGCGCCCTTGCAGGCTGAGCTGGCAATGCTGCTGCTTGGGATGCAGGCTGAGCTGCTAGCAAATCTGCACGCTGGGCTGCAGGCTGAGCTGCAGGCTGAGCTGCACGCTGGGCTGCAGGCTGAGCTGCACGCTGAGCTGCACGCTGGGCTGCAGGCTGAGCTGCACGCTGGGCTGCAGGCTGAGCTACTGGAAATGCTGCACGCTGGGCTTTACGCAGGGCTGCAGGTTGCAGTGGAACTGCTGGAAAATCTTCATCTGCAGAGGTGAGGTCTTCATCTTCATCAAGTTCAAATCCACCGGCATTGGATGCAGGGGACTCTGAGTCAGTGTCGTTGGGCACAACAACGCACTCCACTCTCTCCTCAGCTTCACCATCAGCAGCATCACTATCAGCGCTATCGGAGTCTGCAGTGTCGTTGCCGAACTGCAAACCCATCGTGGGATGATCTCGGAACATTTCAAAGTAGATACGAAGCAGGGGCTATTTCGCTTTTCGGAGGACATCTTCCCAGTTGATCCCGTCGTTGAAGTCCTCGTCTCCATCTGTGGCAGCTCCAGTCTTGTCCTTTTTATTTATGATGGGGAGAACAAACTCCTTTACCTTCTTGTTGCCCATTTTCTTGATCGCTGCAACCTTGTCCTTCACCTGCTTCCAGGTGGCTTCCACGTCGGGACTCTTTCAGCTTTTCGGCCATCCACCTGTACCGCTCAGTGTCCCTCTTCATTCTTTTGTCAAAGCGAGTCTTCACTTCAACGTACAACTGCAGCAGTAGCTGCTCTGATTCAATTGTCCACTTCATTATCGAAAGTGAAATCATACAACAATAAAAATCGCTCCCTATGTCCGAGTGTCGCAGGAGCGGAACTTCCGCAGGAGAGTATCCGCTCCAAAAATTTTGGAGTAGCGGATTTGAATTTTCCGCCACGGCGGAAGTTCCGCTACTCGCAGTTTCCATGGTGATACACGCTGTTGCGACACCGCTGCAGCGGATCCGCAACTCTCAAGTGCATGTGGGACCGGGCCCTAAGGAACCTGAAGGACCCCCTGAGGTGCCCCTGGTAGAAGCGCAGCCTGATTAGGGCCAGGAGATTGGAGCGGACGACTTCACTGGTCCGAGTACGAGGATCCCGAAATTCTCTATACGCCAAGAGGCATATGGTCAGAACAGTTTTGTTTAGACAAGCTGACGCGAAGTCGGGGTGATGTGTAACGCATGTCAAAGGGCTGCCAATGCTAACAGCTGCAGCGCTCTCTCGACAGCAAGGTAATCGACTGCCCTCTGCATCACCCCACATTTCTGGCAGGAACACCAATCGTTATTTCCTTGTCCATTTTGTCATTTTTTTACAATGATCACAGCTCACATGCAAAGACAAAAATTGCATAGTGGGAGCATAGTGATGGTGAGGCTTTTTGCCCTCAGCCGACCTGAGGTATCGACGTCATGGGGACATAAAACGCACCAGGAAAATGAAAGGCGTGACAGGTACATAATACGAAATGTTAGGAGGAGAGACAGTACATTAGAAGGAGGGGAAGGATAAGACAGACGGTGCTAGGAGCAGTAGGAGAGAAAAGAAGAACAGGCGTTATTGGGAATAGTATGTGGAGCGGAATTTGGAAGTCATGGGGTGAGGCAGATATGATGCTGATAATCAAAGATGGTCATGTGCCCACGACCAGTCGTAGGTCTTCAAATAGCGGTTGGCTGCAACTTTGAAGTGTTGCAAGTTCTTGGTGCAGAAAGGCCCATAGAAGACTTCGGCGGGCAGCTGGTTCCAGGCAGGGACAACTGCATGAAGGTAGGCTCGACACAGTCTGTTTCGGGAACGGACTGGAAGCCCATTGGCCAGTTGGTGTGCATGAGCATTACATCTCTGGATTGTACTACGGTTGGAGTGGACTGTTCGGTGTTGGGGCTGCTGGGGTGGCAGCATCCTCTGTAGAAGGGGATGTGCATCCGGACAATGCATCTTGTACAGGAGGCAAAGTGCTGCAACCATCCGACCAAGAGCAAGACTCGGCAGCCAACACATTGGGGCGATGGCACTGATGGTCCGGGCTTGCACACTTTCGAGTCTTGCAAGATGGGATGGGGCCGCTCCCATCAAGACAATA